TTTTCCCTTAGCAGTTAACAGCGATGAAGTTTCTACATTATCCTTTTTGTTCTCTGGTTCTGCAGCGTTTTCTTCATCTGATTCGAACTTCAGATGTAGACTGGGACCAGTAGTAGAGGAAAACGAGGATTGTGGTGTAGAATAAGAGGGCAAGACAGCGGGTACTTTTTCCAAAATGTTAGCTGTTTTGGACCGTTTTCGATGTTTCCGAATGCGTTTTCTTTTGCCCAGCAGCTGTAACGTACTGGTCGTATCTGCCGATTCCCCAACACCATCCCTTAGTTGCTCTAATAAAGGCCCCATCAGCCCAAAGCTAAATTTCTTTTTTGCTACAAGGTCGGATGCTTGGCTGTTAGTCGTTGGTTCCAATGCAACTTTCATCGGATCCTCAATATCTTCAGTGATGGTACTGGTAGAGAGGATTGGTCCAATAAGTTCGCCACTCAATGCATTTTTTGGGTCTGCCTGAGTATTCGTAGTTGATGCTGGAGGCACTTCTAACGGTTGAACAACTACAGCGGTACTACTAACGTTCTCTAAGATATCAACAGTGATATCAGCCAAATTATTTGAAGACGGAGTCATATCGAGAAGATTCTCGGGCAAATCTAGGAGGCTCTGAGGTGCAATTTGTGGACGATCACTGCTTTGATTAACAAGGATTGGTGAATTGGCATCCTTCTGATCCAAGAATATTTTTGTGTAATTTGAAGCTTCAGTTCTAGGGACAAAGTTCTTCTCGAGCAAAGAAACATTCCCACTGGAATCGTGCTTGACTAACTCTTTTGGAATTATCTCATTACTTTTCAGCTCGCATTCTTCCTTGCTGATGCTCTGAGCCTCAGAATCGTTCTTAATTAGATCAATTTTAACAATATTTATTTTCTTTTCCGCCAAATATTTGCTTGTTATCATTGCAGGTGGGGCATATTTGGTGACTACGATTGGAGAATCCGCCCGGCGAGAAAGCCGAACGGCTGTATCCAGACACGGCATTCGATAGGAACTAATAACAGTGCTTGGCGCTACTGAGGGCGTTGGTGTCTCAGTTTCTTGCGGGGTTTCATCTGAATCTTCCACATTATATGTGATCGATTTTTTGGATTTATGGCGTTTTTTCAATTTTGCAGGGACTTCCTCTGGAATCGGTTCCATGAACCCTTTTCGTTTCTTTTTTTTAGGTCCAGAAGTTTCAATTGCAACTTCTGACTTTTGAGGAGGACCCCTGGCTAGGTCAGCATTATTAGGAGTAACCCTAGAAAACAAAACTTCGTTGATAGATCTAAATAAGCAAAACAATACAAATTTTAATTGAGGTTTATTTTGTGAATTGGATGTGAATAATATAGGTAGGTAGTCACATATTGCTAATGACTCTCTTTAGGGTTTTCTTATAGTTTGTTTAATCAGCGTAAGCCCGATTCTGCTTCGCTTCGTAGCTACAGGGTGATAATTGTTTTTTTCACGTTTTCTAAAGAACTTTTTATTCGGAAGATGTCAAAGTGGACGTTTTTTGAAACTCTAATTGGATGTTAGTTTGTCTCCCACTTATACACTCTTTTCATGAGTTAGGAGTAACTTTTCTATACCCACGTACTTGTAAAACAGTTTCAAGCCGGAAAATAGATTTCTCCATCATTTTTACAAGCGAAATGGCATATTTAAGTCGCTGATAGACAAAATTATCGCAGCATCTATACATTTATTTTCCCATAGAACAAACTAAGAAAATATTAACATTTTTAAATACTATTGGATACTTACACCACCAGTTCTTCATTATTCAACACACTAATATTCTCTGAATCCGGTAGAAAATGACCAGTTGCCACTAAGAAAAAGTCTGTTATATGAAATAGCGATGCAATGTGCTCTTTTACATCCTGAATCTTGCTCATTTTCTTAGTTTCTATAAAAATTCTTGCCACATTTCTATGGTCTTTGTAGAAGGCGCTTAAATCGACGATTATTCGAAATCCTTTATGCCCCATGCTTCTTAGAAATTAACCAGGATAGTTCCAGTGTATAACATACGTTTTCTATCCTATTTTATAATAATTACTTAAACGCTAAAGCCGAATCACAGAGCCGAATTAACACAAACTGATTGACAACATTTAACAAACGTAACCTCAAAACATATCATCACATACTTTGTTATCAAGTGAGCTGGCAACCACAGACAAATAGTTCTCCCTTGTCTCTGCTGGCAACTGCCCCCAGCAAAGCCATTGACCAGAGAAGGAGAAGAAAACTTTGTGAGCTGTGCATATCACAGATCATAAAAAAATGGGTGATATGTGAAATGTAGAACATATTTTCTACTGTAGCAAACAGTGTTTAGGTGCAGTTTGATCAGTTAGTATCAATGGGGATGTTTACTGAAGGAAACTTTTGATAAAAAAGATTCGAATTATTCTAAATTTCCACTACGTATACTCAATAAAAAATTAGTCTAAGATTTTAAATAAAAAGTTTTGATGACTTTAGAAAAAGCAACGTTAGAAGCGTAAAAACATATTTTTTTTTAATTATTAATTTCAAAAACCGTTTCCGGGCAATGTTGCCATTGAGCGGGTGCAAAGTTTGAAATGTTTTTCTAAGAAAGTAAGTAAATAACTTGTTAATAAGAGTGAGAAATAATAAGAGTTGTCGCAAAATTAATAAAAGAAGCTTCGAAACTATTACAACGCCAGCAATAGAAAATATAACGAAAGAAAATTAAAATTATAATCTAAAATAAATTATCTAGTTATACCGATTACCGATCTTAATTTAATTTATTGTCTCAATAATTTTAGTTATTTTTTGAGCGTCAGTTTCACACTGCACTTCATAGTATGGATTTTGGGGTTGAATGAAATACAATTACAATTATATAACTTCTATGCGACTGGTAGAAATACTTAAAAAAATCAGCGTTTTCTGCTGAAAAAACGACTGTTTCTCAAAAGTGTGAAAAATTGCATTTTGCGATCCAAGCATAACTGAAAACGTAAAAAATAAACTATAAATAGTGAATCATATCTTTTTAAAGGTGACTAATCGATATTTTTTTCAGCACCGAGTTAATTACTCCAGTCGCGTCCATTAAAAAAAAATCCCAACTAAAGTTTTTTGGCAATTTTAATACCAACTGCTTTTTTAATACTTAAAGTTTGGGTCATCCTGTATTTCCTATAGTAATACAAAATAAAAAAGTCAAAAGTATTGTCCATTTGTAAAACTAACGATGTCCCATTGACCGTTATTTCAAAAATTAAATGCGTAAAACCGTTTACGGCAGTGTTGTCAATGGGTGGGTAAATATTTCGAATTATTTTACCCAGAAAAATTGTAATGTAAGCATGGCTTAACTGTTAAAAACAATTAGAAGTACGCAAATTAAAGATCAGTCAAATTGGAAGTTTGCTGATAAAATTAAAAATTAGTAGATGATATTAAAATCAAGTTTTCAAATTTGAAAAACTTAAAAATTTGAACAAAAACAAAAGAAAAATTAAATAGAATTTTATAAAATAAAACTTGAATATAATCATGGGAGATTAGTTGACTAATCCGTACTTATGTTATCAGTCCACTTATTCGTCTATTAATCTCTGTCACCATAACACGTGTAATTTAAAAACCAATTAAACCAAATTAGAGCAAAATCAACCTACATTTTCTACCGAATTAATTAGATGAAGCTCATTTATTTATTTCATGTATTTAACATTTTTTCATTTTTACAAGTTATGTTTGCAGTGTTGCCTTGTAGTAGTTGCCCGGCAAGCCTGAAAGAAGAAATTCGAATCTGCACGTTTTCCATGCGAGAATCACAAGCGACAGCATCATCCTCCATCTTCATTTCCGCTGTCTTTTTAATTTTTCTGTCGTGTAGATAGGAGGCCAAGCTGCCAGTCCAGATTCATTGGTCGTTAGAAAGAATATCAAAAGGTAAGAATCTGCCCAAAATTGCTTACCTTTTACCCCTAGGCCATGGTAATCCGCAGTCTTGCTCGAAAACAAGTCGGCTTTATTTTACAAAATTGTTTTAAACCACGTTTTTTTTTGCGCAGTGGTTTCATTGTCGGCTTGGCACATTTCAAGTTCGTTTCGCCTGGCACGTGTGGTCGTCAAAACCATTTCTTTGTTCTGCCTAGTCCCATCTTTCAATCGGAGTTTTCCGAATTCCTTTCATTTATTTCTTTCTCGAATTCCAGAGAAAACCTCATCTGAAAATGACTACTGATCACGACCAAGTTGGCGACTGCCCCGATGACTTGGAATCCGTCGAGTATGAGGAAGACATCACCGAAGAGGGCTCTAAAATAGCCAACTCTCTGCCCAATAACGTCATTGATGCGTTAAAATCACACCAAGACGCCGAACCAAAAGCTCCATTGCCACCTGCTGTTAAACGGCGAGTCAACGCTCTAAAGAAACTTCAATTAGAAACCACCAATATTGAAGCGCTTTTCTTCAAAGAAGTTCATGATCTTGAATGCAAATACCATCGGTTATATGTTCCTTTATACGAGAAGAGAAACACCATCGTTAATGGCGAGTATGAACCAGCTGATAATGAGTGTGAGTGGCACTCTGATGATGAGGATGAGGGTCTGTCTACCTCCTTGAAGGAAAAGGCCAAGTTGGAGGAAGTGAATGGCACAGAAGAAGAGAAGTCTGA